GTGATGAAGTAATGCAAGTGATCATCACCTCCTTCGTCAATAATTATTAGGTGAAACAATATACTTTACAAGTGTGGAAATCTTAATGCATACAGCCAGTTGCTGTGTCATTCACACGTCTCCAGGCTGATGCTTCTTGATGAAAACAACGAAACTAAGCTTTCCGGTGGGCGGCGAGCTGACACAGCCAGCTTCAAGCAGGCAAGATTCGCTACCCCCCCCACCCCCCACCCCCCACATTTCACAATAACACCAGCCCAAAATATACTGACGTGTGCGTATCTTGCCATGATTTGATCTTGAAAAGTCAGAATTGCACAGAGCAGAGTTCTCTGCTCTGTGCAATTCAAAATGTGTTATTGTTTTAATGTAACAAGACCCTACGTACAGAGGTACGTTCGTCTAAGCTCACATGTAATGCGACACACACACACACACACACACACACACACACACACACACACACACACACACACACACACACACCCACCCACCCTGGTAGGGGACTGGTGGCTGAGTGGAGAGTGCTCTAGACTCGTGGACCTAGGGACCGGAGTTCAATTCCCGGCACCAGCGGAAAACAAATAGGCAGAGTTTCCTTCACCCTGATGCCCCTGTTACCTAACACTAGGTAGGTACCTGGGAGTTAGACAGCTGCTACGGGCTGCTTCCTGGGGGGAAGAGGGTGTGGAGGAAAAAAAAAAAAAGAGTAGTAACAGTTGATTGATTGACAGTTGAGAGGTGGGCCGAAAAAGCAGAGCTCAACCCCCGCAAGCACAACTAGGTGAATACAGTGTCACTATTCACAGGAAGAAGAGCGGGAGAGGAAAGTGTCAACAGGGCCCGAACTACGTGCTACAGGGACCTAAACCCCAAAAATATCACACTGGGCCACTTTTACTACCTATACAAATAATAGTTTTCACACACAAGTTGAGAGCACAGGCAACACCAAGGTTTGTGCGTAAACAAATAAATCGTAAACTACTACTACAGAAAAATGTACACAAAGTGTTACACAACTACGAAAGACAACTCTGGAATAGCGAAAACAATCGCAAAAAAAAAGTGATGGGTCATCTAATGTCAAATGTGGAAAGGTTTAGTTGGTTGTGGTGTTTGTGACACGGGCTCATTAGCGCACACTTTCACACGGGTTCATTAGCACATATATTTTCTGCCCGAAACGCTGCGCGTACTAGTGGCTTTACAAGAATGTAATTACTATGCTATGTATCCTCACAATCCCAATGTACCTTCATGTAAGTAAATAAATAAATAAATAAATAAACAAACTTGGGAGCAAGTGTTACAATATATTTGTGAGACGTTCAAAACCTAGAGGACAATTTAATTCCCTTGGCTCATGGAAGGATCTGAACTGTGGGCCCAAGCAGTGCGACACTCGTCCTTCCACCCACACAATGGATGCTCACAATAAGGTTGGGTACCTAACTGGTGGCCAACTGAGACTTTAAACCTTGCCTCGTAATGTTGTTATCCATATCACTGTGGATTGCATTTTATTAAGAGAATTTTCCTTCCGGCTTATATTCGCACGAAGTTCTCGATTGTTTGGGGTGTGTTTACTCTCGTTAAAGGTTGGTGTTCAGCACTCAGTAAGACCAGCGATGCAGATCGTACTACGCAAATGGTTATTGATCCTTTTCAATTTTGTGAATAACTTTATACCAATACCGTTGGTCACAATCATTGGAACGCTGTCACTACATCGTAGCTGAGAATGGTGAACAAAATGGTCGCTTCAGTCCGTTTTTGGAGTCTTCTGACTGCATCGCCTTGAAAATTGTCTTTAAATTTACAATTTGCAGAAAGAGTTACAGTGTCATGTGGTTCAGCTAAGGCTTGACCAGGTTGTGGTGGTATTGGTGGTGGTGCTGGTGGTGGTGGTGGTGCTGGTAGTGGTACTGGTGGTGGTGGTACTGGTACTAGTGGTGCTCGCCCGGCGCAGTGCCTGGTGCTCTCTCTGCTCCACCATAATGTTACTTCCTCTTCCCAACGTCTTCGCACTTGCGCTCACCATTTTTCAATAGAGGGTTGTTCATGGTCGTCGAACTGTTCCCGTAAATCCTGTATAATCTGTCAGTGATTCAGTAGTTTCACTGCAGCGTTCAAATCGAGGCCCGACTTCTGTAACTGCCGGGGGGCTGATCGAGCTGATCCGCTTTACAATTTCGTGTTGTGTTGCTAGTAGACTCACCGTCTCAAGTTTCCCCTGTAGATCCCTCACTTGTGGCCTCTACGTTTAAGTGGTGGTGTATTGTTACATGGTCCAGGGTGGTGATGCTGTGGTGGAAGTGACGGGTCAGTGAGTGCACGGTACAGGTCAGTGAGAGCACGGTACGGGTCAGTGAGTGCACGGTACGGGTCAGTGAGTGCACGGTACGGGTCAGTGAGTGCACGGTACGGGTCAGCCACCGCGTAATGGCAAGCACTTCCATGTTATCAGCACATCTCCCTGTTTACACAACTGACAGCTGGACTTCACCACACGCGCACACAGCTCTTGGTGCACACACCAGTCCCGTCACAGCACCCGTGCACCACCACCACCACCACCAGTCACGTCACAGCACCCGTGCACCACCACCACCACCAGTCACGTCACAGCACCCGTGCACCACCACCACCACCAGTCACGTCACAGCACCCGTGCACCACCACCACCACCACCAGTCACGTCACAGCACCCGTGCACCACCACCACCACCAGTCACGTCACAGCACCCGTGCACCACCACCAGTCACGTCACAGCACCCATGCACCACCACCACCACCAGTCACGTCACAGCACCCGTGCACCACCACCACCAGTCACGTCACAGCACCCGTGCACCACCACCACCACCAGTCACGTCACAGCACCCGTGCACCACCACCAGTCACGTCACAGCACCCGTGCACCACCACCAGTCACGTCACAGCACCCGTGCACCACCACCACCAGTCACGTCACAGCACCCGTGCACCACCACCACCACCACCAGTCACGTCACAGCACCCGTGCACCACCACCAGTCACGTCACAGCACCCGTGCACCACCACCACCACCAGTCACGTCACAGCACCCGTGCACCACCAGTCACGTCACAGCACCCGTGCACCACCACCACCACCAGTCACGTCACAGCACCCGTGCACCACCACCACCAGTCACGTCACAGCACCCGTGCACCACCACCACCACCAGTCACGTCACAGCACCCGTGCACCACCACCACCACCAGTCACGTCACAGCACCCGTGCACCACCACCAGTCACGTCACAGCACCCGTGCACCACCACCACCAGTCACGTCACAGCACCCGTGCACCACCACCACCAGTCACGTCACAGCACCCGTGCACCACCACCACCACCAGTCACGTCACAGCACCCGTGCACCACCACCACCCGTGCACCACCACCAGTCACGTCACAGCACCCGTGCACCACCACCACCAGTCACGTCACAGCACCCGTGCACCACCACCACCAGTCACGTCACAGCACCCGTGCACCACCACCACCACCAGTCACGTCACAGCACCCGTGCACCACCACCACCAGTCACGTCACAGCACCCGTGCACCACCACCAGTCACGTCACAGCACCCGTGCACCACCACCAGTCACGTCACAGCACCCGTGCACCACCACCACCAGTCACGTCACAGCACCCGTGCACCACCACCAACAGTCACGTCACAGCACCCGTGCACCACCACCACCAGTCACGTCACAGCACCCGTGCACCACCACCACCAGTCACGTCACAGCACCCGTGCACCACCACCAACAGTCACGTCACAGCACCCGTGCACCACCACCACCAGTCACGTCACAGCACCCGTGCACCACCACCACCAGTCACGTCACAGCACCCGTGCACCACCACCAGTCACGTCACAGCACCCGTGCACCACCACCAACAGTCACGTCACAGCACCCGTGCACCACCACCACCAGTCACGTCACAGCACCCGTGCACCACCTTAGAAAAGCTACACAAATGGTTTCGAAAAGTTACTATTAAATTCGGCGAGAATTGTCACTTAACTGATTTTCAGTTTTACTATTATTTGTTTTAATTGTTTTTGTTCCCTGACCTCTCCCGAGCCTCTTTTGTGAGGCGTCTCTTATGTCTCGAACCTGGAAGTTGCAACCAGGGTGCGGGTTCCCCTGTGGTCACCGGGACCCCCGTGAATATCGAGTCTAAATAGGACAAATAGGTCTAAAGCCGAACCTGCATAGATTAGGGTGATAATATGCAACACTAAACTTAACTAGGGCGAGGGGGGGGGGAGGCAAATATCAAAAGTTCATTCATCACTAGACTTGCTCGTGTATTATCAACCATTGTGAGAGATGAAGGCTTTAGTCACACACACACACACACACACACACACACACACACACACACACACACACACACACACACACACACACACACACACACACACACACACACACACACACACAGCTTGGGGTAGCTGCACAAATGTTCACACACTCAAGTACGTTAAGGAAAATATAAACCTACGAGGTCAAGTCACCACGTGGCGCCACTACCAGGTCACGGCGTTAGTGGTATATCAGGAATAGGGTGGGTGGGGTTATGAGGGGGGGGGGTAAAGAGCGTGGAAGCACAGTAAGTGGGAAGGGTGTGGGCATTGGGTAGCATGGAGTGTGGCGTGGTGGGGAGGGGGCGTGGTGGGGAGGGGTGGTGGGGCGTGGGCGTGGTGAGGAGTATGGCGTGGTGAGGAGTATGGCGTGGTGAGAAGGGGGGCGTGGGCGTTGTGGGGAGGGGTGATGGGGCGTGGGCGAATGCGTGGGTGTTGTGATGGTTGGGGGCTGACAGTGTGGAGACGGCGCCGGCAGTGTCTTACGCTGTGGACTAGACCAGAATAGACCTGTGCCTACTGGGCCATGCTGCTATGCTCCATGCGTGCGTCCCTTCCTTGGCCTTTCCTCACCCCTAATGCTTCTCTACTCACCTTGCTGAGCTGGGGCACCTGCTGCTGTTGCTGCTGCTGCTGCTGCTGCTGCTGCTGCTGCTGCTGCTGCTCCTGCTGCTGCTGCTCCTGCTGCTGGGATTCGGACTGATACTGCGACTGATGCTGGGACTGTGGTGGTGTGGTGTGGTTGTGGTGGTGGTCAGCGGCAAGCTGGTGGTTGTGTTGTGTAGGGACGCCATCATCCTTCTTGCACATAGTGTGACGACGAGTGAGGAGGGTAGAGGCGGCGGGCAGCAGGAACAAGACTGCTGGTGGTGGTGGTGAAGCACACGCCACGAGCACACTCACACTAGTCACAGGTGAACCCCCCTGGCGCCGCCAACACCGTTGTCCCCACTCCTGCTGCTGCTGCTCCCACTCTCTGTACCACCACCACCACCACCACCCTCCCCCCTGCCTCCTACCACAGGCAGCCACCACAGCCCTCACCTGGCCCTCAGCCACCAACACCACACATGCCCAACTAGAAATAGACCACACCATCCAGTCCTCGGCCTCTCATAACCACCCCCCCCCCCTCTCCCCAACCATCACACACATTATACACACAACAAAATTAACAAAGACAACAAGCGGAAGTGGGATAGGATCCCAGCAAGTGATACTGGAGCACACAGTGATGGGTGAAGGAGCACCTCAGAGGCAATAACAGGCTCTGGATATGATTCCCTCTAGAATACTTTAGTGCCTGAAGCCCGGAAAGCTCCGCTCCTCAAGATGTACCGCACCTATACAACACAGAAAACAAGAGAAATACCAGACAGTTGGAAAACAGCCAATATACAAGAGAGAACAAAGTTCTACACTAGAGATGAGTATACTTGACTCGTGTGACCCTGCTACGTGATGAAGACGATACGGAGACTAGTACACCACTTGCAACTCATTACTTTAATCACAGACCACTTTTCCTGGTCACCGAACAGATCACCAGTTTCAAGATTTGTGTAGGGAGATTACCAGAGAAATGTTGTTAACGCAACAAGATAAAGCCGCGCACACGACGTCTCCGTAACATAAGGAGTCCAGCCCCCACACACACCCGTCACTCTCCAACCTTGTTCCAGTAAATATACGAAATATTGCCGGAAAATAAGTGAATGTTTCCTGATGACAATCGGCAGGCCATGCTGCTACTTTGGTAGTACTTGTAGTAACGATGCTGACCATATTACATATACCGACGTACAACGCAATAAAGAAATCGGTACTGTTGAATTTGGACAAACCGGAGATTTTCTATTTATGTTGCAAAGACAAAATACTAGCCTAGACCGGTTCTAGGCCTAATACACGCTACCTGAGGCCTAATATAGTACATAAGTATACTATACTAGGCCTAGGAATATTTAACTTTAATTTTTAACTTCATTTTTTCAGACTATAACGTGAATAGTACCAAATTCTACTATATAATTGCTTAGTAGGTCAATGTTTGTACTATGGTGCACATAGTTACACTATGTGCACCATAGTACAAACTATGTTTAGATATCCTCCCTGTTTAGATAGTATATACGTACTATCTAAACAGGGAGGATAGGTTGCAACTGGACAAGCTCCCGCAGGAACTGCCGGATCAGCTGGGCTGTGATGGACATGTGGGCCTGCAGGCAGCTGCAAGCAACAGCCTCATAAATCATAACCAGACAAGGTTGGCACCTGGACGGGTTTGTGGAGAACAGGATCACAGGGTTCATCCCTAAGGGAACACACTTAGTCTGTCTCGTATCCTTTGACCTCTAAAGGGGGGGGGGGGCTTTATAAGCAGGTGAGAAGTGAAGCTCTGGGTCTCGGAACACTGACATCACAAACCCCACTGGCTTAGAAGCTGAAATTCTACCTCACTAACCCGGAGATGGACACCAGGTTAGTGAGGCAACCCAACTTGTGCTTGTGTTCTTGTGTACTAGTCCAATCACGCCCACTCGTGAACTAGTCCAACCACGCCCACTCGTGGACTAGTCCAACCACGCCCACTCGTGAACTAGTCCAACCACGCCCACTCTGGACTAGTTCATAACAAGTACTACTGGCAATATAAGTACTTCCACCAATGACCATTCTGCTGGAAACTTTATAGCAAATTCGCTTCTATGATGTTACTAGGTAACTTTTTCAAACATATAGAGCAACCCTATTTCCAAACCAGTGTTTGCCTATTTCTATATTAGATGTAAGGATGCAGCGGTTACTGCATACTCCAACCGGTTCTTGCGATATGGACGTTGTCTGCTTCCCTGTGTGAAGGCTATCTTGAGGTTATCTTGAGATGATTTCGGGGCTTTAGTGTCCCCGCGGCCCGGTCCTCAACCAGGCCTACACCTCCAGGAAGCAGCCCGTGACAGCTAACTAACACCCAGGTACCTATTTTACTGCTAGGTAACAGGGGCATAGGGTGAAAGAAACTTCCCATTGTTTCTCGCCGACGCCCGGGATCGAACCCGGGACCACAGGATCACAAGTCCAGCGTGCTGTCCGCTCGGCCGACCGGCTCCGTTGCTAGGCTGGACCTAGCAACGCTGGCACATCATTGACGCTTGTTAGTTCCCTCACGTCTCCCTCTAACCTGGACAGTTCCTATGTCTAGGTTTCTACCTCCATGTGTCCTGTCCTCCATATGGATGCCTTGTTATCAAAGTGGGTGAGCGAGATTATTATATCACACACCTTCCAGTACTCTCTCATATGACGACTTGAAGCTACTGACGGTTTTGGCCTCCACCATCTTCTCATTCAATGTGTTCCAACCGTCTACCACTGTTTGCAAAAGTTCACTTTCAATTTTCTTGATTCCGACAGTTTTGTTTCCTTTGGTTGTCTATTATGACCTCTTCTTGCAGATGCAGGTTTCACGAAATCTGCTTTGTCAATTTTGTCGATTCCTGTTAAATATTTTGCATGTAGTGATCATATCACCTCTTTGTCTACTATCTTCTAGCTATGGTATATCTAACACCTTCAGCCTTTCCTCGTGGCTTTTGTTTTTCAGTTCTGGAAGCGATTCTGACGTTGGAAAGCGTAGCATAGGCTCCTGGCACAATATTGTTTAAGTGGTTCTCAGGTGGCAGCTTAATATACAGGTCAACCTCTGTCCCTAGTAGCTTGGCATCATCTGCAAACATGTTCATATAATTCTGTATTCCATCTGGTAGATCGTTTATGTAGGCACTGAACATTACTGGTGCAAGAACTGAACCCTGTGGCACTCCACTAGTAACACTTCTCCAGTCTGATACATTGTCTCTCATTACCGCACTCATTTTTTCTGTCAGAAAATTGTTCATCCATATCAGTTTACCAGTCACACCTCCAGTACATTCCAGTTTCTAGAAACCTTTTATGTGGGACTATCAAAAGCCTTTTTTGTAGGTCCAGAAAAATGCAGACTACCCAACCATCTCTCTTCTGTAAAGGGAAGGGAATTTTCAAGGGAAAGCGCCAAGCCATTACGACTATATAGCACTTGGAAGGGATCAGGATAAGGATTTGGGATAAGACGGGGGAGAGGAATGGTGCCCAACCACTTAAATGGTTGATGATCTTAAATGATCCCATCTCAATGCTCATACTATTCAAATCACTGGTGCTGTCCCGCCTTGACCAGCACCAGCGATTTGAATAGTATGAACACCTAAATTACCCAGACCGTCTCAAAGCTCCCAAAACGTACTCCTGAAAGGGGGAGTAGAGAGGTATCATATAATATATACATGGAAGATACTGAAGATACTGGAGGGCCAGGTCCCGAATTTGTACAGTAAACAACATACTGGAGCGACCGATATGGCAGGAAATGCTGAATAGAGGCCGTGAAGAGTCGAGGTGCCGTAGACGCAATGAGAGAACACTATATTAACATCAGAGGTTCACGGTTGTTCAACATCCTCCCAGCGAGTACAAACAAAATTGCCGGAACAAACGTGGAAGTGTTCAAGAAAAAACTGTCCAGTTTTGTCTTGAAGTGCCGGACCAACGGGGCTGTAGTGAATATGTTGGCTGGCGGGCCGCTACAAGCTCATGGACTAAGATGTAAAGTGAAGTCCCTCATGGACTAAGATGTAAAGTGAGAGAGTTCTACTCCCCAGAGTCCGGGCCGGGCCTGGTCCGGCCCGGACTCTGGGGAGTAGAACTCTCAGAACTTCATCCACGTACTGTACTCTGTCCCTTTGAAATGTATTTCTTTCTTGTCTCAATAAACATACTTGAACTTGGTACTGTACACGTCCTCTTGTTCTACCCTGCCTTGTACCTTGTCATCTTTACCCACTCCCGATAATCTTGTATGTCGTTCGAATATTTCCTCGATTCTGATTCTCTTCAAGTGTGGTGAGATTCAGCTCCTTCAGCCTTTACTTATAGTTTAATCATACAGGTTCTGGCAGAGATTTGTTGCATGCCGCAGACCCTTTTGTTGCTTAGTTTCACGTCTCTAGGCAAGTGTTGCACGCTGGGGCGGCTTAAGCCACGGAAAGCTCTCTCATATTTTGTGTACAATGTTCTGAACGCCGCCTCTCCTAGGTTCCTATTATGATGTTGGCCAGTTTCGCCTGTACTGATGGCGACATGTATGTGCAACCCGGCACCTCAACCTTTTGCATCTTATGCTCCCAAACGTATACACTGCAAAATACAATGAAAAGTAGCGGCTCACACATATCTACGTTTTCTATACTTGGTAGGTTAGATTTGGCGAGATGCAACCCGTCCTCCCACTACAACCCGTTCTCTTTCAAATTACGTCGTTTTTCGCTCGTATGCGCGCACTCAGGCTAAAAATGAACGCAATTCAAAATGAAATCTGATCACGAAAGTGACGTACAGTCCAGTTTCCTGTTTTGGATCCTCTGGCTTAGGCTATAGGTTAGGAGAGGAAAATTTCAATTAACGGTTTTCATGACGTTTAGAAACCTTAGAATTTCCTGCCCTCCTAATCTACCAGAGGACCCTTGCTGTTTTTGGAAAAAATAAATCCAACATTTATTTTCAATTATTTTTCATTTTCAAATTACGGCCTTTTTGGCCGTAGCGCATACTAGCGAAAAGCGACGTAATTTGTAAGATAACGGATTGCACGCTAGGCTGTTGAAAGCAGCAGCCGTCATTCCCAGACGCATTCATCAATTTTAAACGTACTGTGTATTAAAAATTGGTTTGTTCTCATATATAAATTGATATTATTACATGTAAAAAAAATTTATGTATAACTAGGCGTAGGTTAGGTTAGGTGTTTAGGTTCTGTTGGCGATTATTTGTATTTGAAGTACGTGGGTGAAGCATTTATTGAATTGTGGTTCGAACAGAAGCCGTGAGCGAAGCATTTGTTTTGGAAGTGTTTGGACATC